ATGGGCACAGAGTATGGACAATTAGTGAGGCATTCCGTCAATTGATAGCCTTAAGAGGTAGAGCAAAGTGGAGGATCATGACTTCCAGTAAAGCATAGCCTGAGGCAAATGTGATGGGGATGCTTTTTAGCACTATTGCCCATCAAGCAGCTTTCATAAACGGTTTTCACGGTACTGATCGCAAAACCGTCCTATAGTGACTTGGTACCAGTTGATTAACTGGCCATACACAAAAGCTTCGGGGGCAAGACGGTTAGGCAGAAGCCTTGAGGCCCTGGCAAAAAGGCCGTTGGATCTTCATTATCGTTGGAAAAGTGAGTGAGAGAATAGCAGGTTGGCCTCACAGGGGCTAGGAGTTGAGATTGTAGATTTACAGGTGGAAGCCGAGAAATTGCCTTTTTGATGCATTTCATACTGAGCTGAGCTGCATTTCATTTCGTGTAAAAGAGCGTAAGGAATAAATTTGTCGGTCGTTCCCACCAGAAGACAACGACCGATTGCATTTGGTATGCTCTTGTTTAAGCCAACTGCAAAGTTTAGCCTCGGTTCAGGCGAAAACATGCTGAGCTCTGGTCTGTCCTATCGCCTGAAAAACAATATCTGGACTGAAATCTATCTTTAAAAATACTTGCGCGTGCTGGTATAATTTTAACTCCTCCTTCCAACTATTGAAATAAAGCAACAACACCACAACACAAATATTGAAATCACTGCAGATAGGAAGACTAAGATGGTGTGCCCTTAGGTTTGGTCGCAGTTTTAATAGCTGTGTGATTCCGGTTTGACCTTGTCTCTACAACTTGGTCGAACCGACATTATGTATTATAATAACTGGTTTTTACAAAGATGAAACCTGCAAAAAGGAACTATTGGATAAGAAGCTAGGATTGATCAAGCATAGCTGACCAGGCATTATAATCGAAGGTATAAAGACCAAGATGGTGTGGCCTTTTGTGTGGTCGCAGTCTCCTTTCGTTGAATAGAAGTTTGATCTTGTTTTCGCAACTCGGTCATGTTGGTAGGAAGACTTAAAGAAACGCACCTATTCCGGAATCCATTGTATGTATCATCGTTTCCAGAGTAGGACCGTGGACGTGGTACATTCCCAGACGTTTCACCGGCA